TAACAAATTATTATAAATATTGTAAAATTATGAAAACCTTATACATACATGTTGTTGTCCCCTCTTACAATGACCCATTTTAATCATTTACAAAGTGTTCATTTAACTACTGATTCAGTTCTTCTAGACTTCAGAAGAACTGAAATTGGAAAATCAGGTGATTAGAGCTGCAATTAGCATATCACCAGCTAAAATAATCTATGTCAATAAACATAAGCAGCCATTATAACTCTAGAAAAATACAGGAAAGCAGTGTTTAACATTTTACCATTCGTATTGGCCAATGCTGGAGAAGTCGCTCAAAGTTTGTCAGAATAACATGACTAGGCTGCAGTATGTGAGGGTGTGCACGTGTTGACTGCAAGGGTGTGAGATGTTCTGGACAAGCAGCTCAGCGGCTATCAAAGCCCCCCCATTGTCCTTTGTTTAACCCCAAAGGCTAACTCTTCTGAACACAGAGACCCGAAAAAGCTTGTGGATCAAACGACCCTGGCATTCAAGGTTGAGAACCATCCAGATCAATCACATCAGAATCAAAAGCTTTGCAGCCAGATTGGCTTGTGAGCATGCTACACACAGCGGTAGATATGAGAACATGGAGGCTTGCTGTTTTGGCTTCATTTTATTTTAGCGCTCAGCCATTGCTTACACTGCATGTTGGTTTACAGCATACAAATTGTGACATTTTGACACCATTGGATGGATGGAAAGTCAGAATCAGGTCTTTGTCAGATGGGTGATGTACCCAAAAATACTATAAACACAAAAAAAGCAGTGTTTCCTAATCCTGGTACTGGAGGCCCCCTGCTCTGCACATTTCAGTGCTTTCCCTGCATGCCTGATCCAACTAATCAGCTCATTAACAACCCTTACTGAGCAGTAGTGGGTGTTAAAGCAGAGACTGCATTAAAATGTGCAGAGCAGGGATACCCTCAGAGCACGGCTGGGAAACACTATGCCAAACCCTATCATAGTGATCATGTTCAAGGGTCTATATCATGGAAAAACAACATTCCAAATTTGCAACACACTCCAAAATTGTCAGGACCTTATCTTACTTTTTAACAGTACTTAATTGTTTAGGGACTAATGACAACAATTGAAGTGTTGAAAGCTGTGTTTGTGTAAATCATATGGGGTCTTCATTGTAAAATTTTGCACTTCATAATGCACCAGATGTTTTGAATGGGAGTCAGGTCTGGACCACAGGTAATCCAGTCTAGCACCCACACTTATGAACTTGTAATACATGCAGAATGTGACTTGGCATTGTCATGGTGAAATAAGCATAAAATTGCTTGAAAAAGATGTTGTCTAGGAGGCAGCATATGTCTTTCAGTGTTGATGGTGCCTTCACAGATGTGTTGCCCATGCCATCGGTGCTAACACACTCCTATACAATGACAGAGGTTGGCTTTTTTTTTTTTAACAATGGTAACAATCTGGATGGTCATTTTCTTCTTTGAGAACAAAACATCTATTATGTCAAACATCGGAAAGTTTGACTCATTAGACCACAAAGTATGTTTCCACTGTGCATCAGACTATTTCAGATGAGAAGCCGATAGCATTTCTGGATATTGCTTCCACTGTGCATACTACAGTCTTAACTTGTAGCAAATCAGCGTTTATCAGCAGCAGTTCGTCAAAGCATTCCCAAGCTCATGCGGTGATATCACAAGCATGCTGTTTTTAATGTAGCGCCAACTGCAGGGTGTAATGTGGCAAGTGGCTTACCCCATGTGGGGATCAAACTAGCAACCTCTTCCTTAAGAAACGGACGCACTAAGGGCTGAGCCACCATCCAGGCACATGAGAGGGGCCTCAAGTGCAGAGCAGTAGAGACCAGAAAGAAAAGGCAATTACAAAGAATTTCTTAAGCAAGCACCAGGGGAGAAAGAAAGACTTAAAACCATAACTAATAAAAGGGAGAAAACAAGGCACTCAAGAATGTAAATGGGCAAGAAATCAAACCCTCAGTCCCCATGATGCTAGGCCAGAGCACTACAAAAGGTGCCACTGAAGGGGAGAGTGGAGGCATCAGCTAAACAGTTTAAAACCCTTGATTCTGTGTGCAAAAATGCACACAGAAAACTCCCTTCCTTGATTCTTTTGTTGCTCTCTCCCTGAGCACAGAAAGTAAAACAAACTCAAATTTTCTTTTTTTTTGTTTGAAACACTTCCACTAGAAACTACACTATATTGCCAAAAGTTTTGGTTGTCTGCCTTCACACGCATATAAACTTCAGTGACATCCCATAATATGATGTCGGCCCACCCTTTGCAGCTATAAGAGCTTCAACTCTTCTGGGAAGGCTTTCCACAAGGTTTACTAGTGTTTATGGGAGTGTTTAGGATTGTTTATGGGAATTTTTGACCATTCTTCCAGAAGCGCTGTCATTCCTAATCGTGAGGTCAGACACTGATGTTGGACGAGAAGGCCTGGCTCACAGTCTCCGCTCTAATTCATCCCAAAGGTGTTCTATCGGGTTGAGGTCAGGACTCTGTGCAGGCCAGTCAAGTTCTTCCACACCAAACTCGCTCATCCATGTCTTTATGGACCTCGCTTTGTGCACTGGTACGCAGTCATGTTGGAACAGGAAGGGGCCATCACCAAACTGTTCCCACAAAGTTGGGAGCATGAAATTGTCCAAAATCTCTTGGTCTGCTGAAGCATTAAGAGTTCCTTTCACTGGAACTAAGGGGCCGAGCCCAACTCCTGAAAAACGACCCCACACCATAATCCCCCCGCCACCAAACTTTACACTTGGCACAATGCAGTCAGACAAGGACTGTTCTCCTGGCAACCGCCAAACCCAGACTCGTCCATTGGATTGCCAGATGGAGAAGCGTGATTCGTCACTCCAGAGAACACATCTCCACTGCTCTAGAGTCCAGTGGCGGCGCTTTACACCACTGCATTCGACACTTTGCATTGCGTTTGGTGATGTAAGGATGTAATGCAGCTGCTCGGCAATGGAAACCCATTCCATGAAGCTCTGTACGCACTGTTCTTGAGATAATCTGAAGGCCACTCTGTCATTTTACGTGGCCTACCACTTCATGGCTGAGTTGCTGCTGTTCCCAATCGCTTCCACTTTGTTATAATACCACTGACAGTTGACTGTGGAATATTTAGTAGCGAGGAAATTTCACGACTGGACTTGTTGCACAGGTGGCATCCTATCACAGTACCACGCTGGAAGACCCATTCTTTCACAAATGTTTGTAGAAGCAGGCTTCCATGGCCACAGGTGTAAAAACCAAGCAAGGAAGTGATGGGAACAGCTGAATTCAATAATTTGGATGGGTGAGTGAATACTGTTGGCAATGTATTGTACTTAGTGAGAACAGAAATTAAGGAACACTCAAGAGGGCAGTAAAATGCTAATACTGGCTAACCAGAGAAACATGCTCATGGCACCATGAACTCAAGACTGAGCAGAGAGCTGTGTGAGCTCTCCTTAAATAAGGCATTCAACAGCTGAGACTGATCAGCCCTGATCAACTTGTCTTGGTTCTCTGACTCACTCTAGTGGCTGGATGTTACACAGGGTCGGAGGTCATGGACATTCATTTGCAGTTTCGGCCTTGCCCTTTGCACCTTTATAAGATTTCTTTTGATCATTCAGTGAACATTAATTTTAGACTGCTGAATTATTTGTATTTTTTGTATTTTTTGCAAAGTGTGCAAGCCTTGACCCATCCTTGTTCATGCAGGACACAGCCTTTCCAGGGTGCTCATTTTATATCCAGGCATGATTGCATCACCTGGTTAAGATGTTTTTTTTCACATCATTCCTAGTCCTAAATTGCCCTGTCTCAACATTTTTGGAACATATTTCTAGCTTGAAAAGCTCTGGAAAACATAGGTGCCATAAATTATCTATAGAAGAACTACCTTTGGTTTCCTAGAGAATCTTTCAGTTGATGATTCTTTGAAAGAACCACTTTTGAAAACGTTGTGGGAGCCTGAAAGACCTTCCAAAAATGTAAATAACCTTCACATAATTAACACATTCTAAAAAATGTTCTAGAAAACAATGACGTTGATAAGTTAAAACATTGTAAATCTTGTCTTTGTACTTTTTCATTTTAATACAGGTGAAAAAAATGGATTTACAAATCATTGCTTTCTGTTTTTATTTGTATTCCACATACTGTCCCAACGTGTTTGGAATTAAGCTAATATGTAAACATAGTTAAAGTTTCAAAACTTTTTCCACCACGCAGTCCAAATATGGAAATAAAGTGCCCTGTTTTGAAAGTGTTTTTGTAATGTTATGTAAAAAAAAAGCACACATTTACATATATCTGCAAAATCAGTCTACAGCAGTCTAGGCTTGCTCATCATGCTGAAGTTAAAAGAGGGGTTTCAACCAAATTAAATAAAAGTCTGAAAAAGCACTGTAATAAAAACAGCCTGTTGAATTCTAAGGGATAAAGAGAGGTCAGAAATTGGTCATGTAAAATGATTCATGACTTTTGGCACATACACTCACACAAACATAATAAGTGGATCATCATAAGTGGGAAAAAATAAATTAGGATACAGGTCTCTTTAACAACAGTCCTACTTAAGTTTATTTGTCATTTGTTTCAAGGGAGAATAACATGTTTATTCATTTTGACTCATTTGTTTTTTTATTTCTTCATGCAATTAAAACAAAGACACAGTATTGCTTGGGAAAGATTAATTAAATCACTAGTTTCAGCTTGAAGCATTATTTTTCAGGTCAAGCCAAAAATAAATAAATAAATAAAAATACAGAAATACAGGGTACTGTAGTGTAGTTTAATGCCAAAACAAAATGCTAAAATGGTTTATAGAAAAATGCCTTTAAGTAATGTTTAATTTAACTCATTAATGCTTAATTTTGTTGTTTATCTAGTAAAAAGCAAGCATACTGGATAAAGAAATTTAACAACTATATTATTTTCCCATATTGTTTGATGCATTTCTCCACCACAGGCCTAACTTGTGCTTCTGTATCTTACAGGTGATTCTGATCCTGACCAAGCTTTATGACTTCCACTTGGGCAGTGTCACTGAGAGCTCCCTATGGAGGTAAGAGGTATTCACCTCTCTCTCTCTCTCTCTTCTCTGTTCTCTATCCACAACAATCCATTCCCCAGAGTCTGTAGTCTGTCTCCGCTGTTGTTCTGTAGCCTTCAGCAGGTAAATAAGGTGGCGCCTGTGTTAGAGATTAGTAGGCTTGAATATGTCTTGTACACTGCTGTCCTTACATCTCCTCCGGGAAAAACAGAAAACAGACAGAGAGAGACAGAAAACAGAGGTGGAGAAGACTCCAACAGTCACAGCAACCAAAATAACAATAGGAGCCAAAGTTGCGACTAGCTTCGCATTTTCACAAGATAGATGCTGTCTTCCAAATTAACAGGGACTGCTTTCTTGAATGCTACCTTTAGCAGCTTCTTCGCTACAATCAGCTGCCTTCTTCAGAATCACTGTTAGCCCCTTTCCTCATGACTACCATAAATTACTTTCTTTAAAACAAGCCTTGGCCAATTTTTCCCAACCACCATTAGCCACTTTCTTCAGAGCTAAAATTTGTCATTTTCTTTGAAACTAACCTTAGACGCTCTTTAAAACTAACCTGTCACTGTCTTCAAAACTATTGTTAGCCTTTATAGCCAAACCTAGCACTAGTCAGTTTTTTCAAAGCCACCGTTGCTTTCCTCACAACTACTGTCACTTTCTTCACAACTACTGTTAGCCTTTTTAGATAAATCTAACTCTTGCCATTTTTTTCAAAGCTACCATTAGCTACTGTCTTTAAAACTACCGTTAGCCCTATAGCGGAGTTTTAATGGGTGCTGTGGGTACCACACACCCCTAAAGAGCTATACAGACAAACCTCAAAAATATTTTTATAGCATTTATAGTGAAGCAGAAGCATTTTTTTTCATTTAATAAATGTCTTATTAACAATTTCTGGTCATTTTCCATCAATTAGTTCTTTGAAAGAAAGGGCCATCTCTCATTCTATCGCTCTGTGTGTGGGCCATTTCATTGGAATCATACAGTGCTTTTTAACTGCTCTTCAGAATTTCAGGTGGAATTCTGACTGGTGCTTGAAAATGCACTGTGGGATTCCAAGCAGGTTACAGCTAACATTTAACTTCACCTGTGCAGACAGAGGGAATGTTACAGGTTTGTGGAGGACAGTAACCAAAGAAATTAAAAGGGAAGACACATGTTTAGATGTAGTTTACATGATTTGCGCAAGAAGACAAAATTCATACAGAATCATACAGAGCTTGCCGGTTACTTGCTGAGCTAGCAAGCAAGCTAGCAAGATTGAGGGAGATAACTTTCTAGCTTTTCTGGATGACTGAAGGATCCTAAAAATAATAACAGCATAAAAAGCATAAGCCTGTGTTTTAGAATCATTGTAAGTTCAGACTGGCCCAGAAATGCTCAATACCCTTCCTTTATTTCCATAATGACATAGAAATGCCCACCAACGGTGAGCAGAGAGAAATTAAAAGGGGCTGACAACTTGCAGGAGAGTGAGAGCAGATGTTTAGTAGGGCATATGAACCCAGACAAGGCATTAGGTTGGCTAGAAGCAAAGGCAACCTAGCTTGCTAACTTTGGGGTTAGGGAAAATCCTTATATATGCAGTCTAGTTGAAAGTAGCTGTTTACATTGAAAATTAACATGTTTGAATACTGTTGGCTTTATCCAGTTTCTTAATCCTTATACTGAAAAAGCAAGCTTCACCCGTGTGCTAGCTGCCTTCTTCACAACAATTGTTAGCCACATTCTTACAACAATATGTAAACTTCAAAAAAAAAACTGCCCTGAGCTACTTTCTTCAAAACTACTGTTAGCTGCCTTCTTCACAACAATCATTAGCAACTTTTCTCAAAACTACTATTAGCTGCTTTCTTTACAACAATCATTAGCCATTTTCTTCACAACACTTTCTCCACAACAATTGTTTGCCACATTCTTCACAATTGCCATTTTCTTTAAAACTACCCTTAGCCATTTTCTTCAAAACTATTGTTAGCCGCTTACCTAAAAACTATTGTTAGCTACTTTCTTTTCAAGACTTTTCACAAGCTAAAGTTAGAATTAGCTAACTTTGCGCATTGCAAAATCCAGGCCGAAGAAAACTACTTCTTTCCTCTGTCCCTCATTAGCCCCGTTCTCTGGGAGCCGTCCAGCTGCGTGTACGGCTTACATCCCCTCTTCCGCCACTTTTGTGGGTCAGGCCAGTGTTACAGGATCTCTGAAGCGCTTTTTCGTGTCAGTACTGAAGGTTTAATGGCTCTTTGTGATCTAAGGCAGCCGGTGGTTTTGTGTCAGAGTGCTGCCAAGCTAGACAGAAAGAGACCATAAGGTCATAGGGGAACTCGTATACAGAAATAGCATATATATATATATGACCTGGACTTCTATCTAGACACTTTCCAGACCTGAGTATGTTAGAATGTAACATAGAACAAATTGGCAGATTTCTCCAATGTGAGAAAAAGCCTGTTTTTGAGTCATGGTGATGTTAGAGCCTATGTAAACTTAACCTCTTTATGCGTCTGATCAGGCTGATCGGACAACTGTTTGATTGTGAAAAATGTAAATGCAACCAAGACGCATTGGTGACTGATTGCTATCTGATTGCTCAGACAACTCTGCAAGGGGTTAAAAACACATTGTAGATACAACTGAGCCAAGTGTAAATGTATCCTTTTCTTCAAGTAACATATTGCTACTGTCTGAACAAAACATTGTATCTCCTTTTTTGTCGTTTTTCAATTTTTGACATAATTTGAAAGTACCTGTTGTCCTATACATTGGTTGTAAATTTACTGATAAATGGATAAACAGAAATGATCCAAAATTACTTGGAAAAAGTCTGGTTCCATTGACTTACATTAAAAGTAGAGTACATTTTTTCTTCTCCTGTAAAGTTCTCATTTTGGAGATATGAGGTTTTCATCCGACAACAGCGATGTGCAACTTTTACTGCTCTTACATAACTCTTACATAATTTCTGCCATCATTCTGACAAATTCTAGGAAAGAATTCCTGAATTTGTGTGGCATGAGGCAGGCACCAATGGAAACCACTTTCTATCCGACTAACAGAGATGCATGTGTCTGACCAGGTCCAAAGGGACTATGGATAAAACTTATTTAGTAAGTATCCTGACATGAGGAGCCTAAGATAACAACATTAAATTACAAATGTATAAATAGGATTTTAGGATGTAAAAAGTTTTGAAGACATCACTAACATTGTCACAAGAAGATCTCACAACAAGGAAAGAAGTGAAGAACCCTGGAATTGTTCTAGCTGGAGCTGTTTTATGCATTGAAATTCAGTACATGTCAGAGAGAATGAATAATACTGTATACTTAGTGAACAAATACATGTTCTTGTGTCACTGCTTTCTCCATATTTACAGTATGGTGACTTTGAGAGGATGACTTGGCAGCCGGCCAAATCTCTAATCCAACCCCCCATCTAAATTGAATATTTTCTGGCTCTCTGATTTCTACATCATCTTGCTGTAATCCATATAGGTTTCTGAACAGCAGATTACTTCTAGCTCTTGTTTAAATGTATTTTGGAGCCTGTGTTGAGATAAGATCTATGCCATCACTCTTTTGCCATGTACTTATTATGTAGCTGTATCTCGTCCTTAGCAGCTGGTCGTTGTCTGTTTTTTGGACGATGGGCCCAATACCCCTTGCAGCAGTTGGCAAGCATGTGCTGGATTTCAAAGTTAATGCTTCTGCTCAGGTCACATGAAATGATGAAAAGATCTTTCAATGTTAAAGATAAAGGAAGCTATAGTTCCTTCATTTAAGATAGTTATATTGCTATTTTCATAGACTCAATTCATTGTTTAATGCAACACAGCAACAACAATAATAATGCATATTTAAATCTGTTTTTAGAGTATATGTCTAGATTCCTAATACAGGACTACCACAGGATTTGTTACAAATTAGGCTACTAGCCAACTTCTCACTGTAGTTAAACTGAGCAGAACCTTTGATGCACATTAAAACTGATTCACACCCAAACACAGTCCACACAGGCCAGCTTCACAGTGAGCAGACCTTTATCCTGGTATTCGGCATTATCCTGCCACAAAGCCCCGGGAATCCTCTGTCTCTGTGCAGCCCGAGCCACAATCCATCACAATGACGGGCTGGCGCTACCACGGGATTCCATGTTGACAAAACGAGGGCAGCTGCGATCATATTCAGCTTTCTGCAAATGAGGCCTGGTGGGATGCATCGGCTTTTCTCCTGCCATTCCTCAGTGAAAGGTGCACGTGCCTCAAGAAATAATGGAGCTCTGGTACCAACAACTTCCTTCAAGCAACCATCCAGCAACCCTGTTTTCTTCACAACCACAGTTATCCACTTTCTTGACAACCACAGTTATCCACTTTCTTCACAACCACCTTTAGCATCTTCTTCACAACCACAGTTAGCCACTTTCTTCACAACCACAGTTAGCTACTTTCCTCAAGACCACCATTAGGCACTTTCTTCAAATCCATTGTTAGGCTCTTTCTGTTAGCCACTTTCTTCATAACCACAGTTAGCCACTGTCTTCAAAACCACAGTTTGCCACTTTCTTCACAACCACAGTTAGCCATTTTCTTCAAAACCACAGTTAGCCACTTTCTTCACAATCACTGTTAGCTACTTTCTTCAAGACCACCATTAAGCACTTTCTTCAAAACCACAGTACAGTTAGCTTCTTTCTTCAATACAGTCATTAGCCATATTTTCTTCCAACTTAACATTAACCACTTTCTTCTAAATGACTGTTGGTCAGTTTCTTTTAAACTACTGTTAGCAATTTTCTTTGAAATGACTGTTGGCCTGACCGTTCTTGAAAACTACTTTAGTCACCTTTCAAAACAAATCTTTTGCTTTTTCCCCCAAAATGATAGCTTATAACCATTAGTCATTTTCTTCTAAACATTAGCTGCTTCTTAACAGTAGCCACTACTGTTAGTCACCTTCTTCAAAATGACTGTTTGCTGCTTTTTTCCAAACAACCACTATTTTGTT